CAGCGATTCCCAACCTGTGGTACGCGTACCCCTAGGGGTACGCGATAGGTTGTTTAGGGGTACAGAAAAAAGTTAGTTATTATGGCAGAAAAAATAATATATTATGTATCACAAACTAATAGTATTAAAAAATTATTAGATAAAAAATGTTCCTTGCAACAATCACAACTTTATTATACACTTTTTCTTTCAGGTTTTTTTTCTTTAATTTAAAGTTACAATATGTAAAATTAACAATACGGTTACTCACTAAATTTCTTAAATGAGGGGTACAATCTAGAGATTATGACATGTCACGGGGTACACTAATGAAAAAAGGTTGGGAACCACTGTATTAGATCATAGTAGGAGATCTATAACAGTGATGGCAAACTGTGACCAATGCAACAATTTTAAGAAACTCGCATTGAATATTTAGAAAGTACTAGGTTCTTATAAATTATAAAAAGAAATGTGATAGATTTCAAAATTTTGCATATGTAGTGTAAAAGCAGGGTCCTAAATCTGTTGTGAGAAGTCTTAGAGATCACTAATTATGAACTTCAGATAGAAAAATTATTAAATAAACAAAATATTTTAAATAATTATTAAACAGAATATGTTTAAACAAATTTCAACCAAAATATTTGTTTTTGGTATAATCACATTAATATTTTCTTTATATACATTTTATTCTTATTTTTGTCATATAAATTAAAAACTTAAAATTTCTAAACATTTCTCTGCTATTTTATAATTACAGTTGAGCTTATCTATCTCAAACATGTTTCTCTCTAAATTTATTTTCTCTTGCATTTTCAGTCTAAATTCAATATGTATTCCATGTTTATCTGAAATTATTTTCTCCCAAAACCTCTATATATATATCACAAATTATGAACTGAAATTCAATTACAAATTCAAAGCTCAGTGAGTACATTTTGATAGCATAAATTGTAGTCAAGAAACATCTCTTGAAATAAGAGTACATACTATAGTTGCAATTAATGTTACTTTTCTCTGATTGACTATGAGTTTGGCTTGAGTATTATTGGTTGAAGAAAGTTGGGCATCAGCAACTATTTGTATTAAGGTATGTCAAAAAATGTTTTATATTGTTTTATTAATACCTCAAATCAAATGTATTACTGTTTACTGTGTAAAAACCTCTATCTCATTTTTTCTCATTTCCATAAGATTTGAGATAGACAAATTAAACTGTATTCAAATTAAACATTTGACCCATAATTTGGAGTTGATAAACTTTGAATTCAATTTTGACCTACCTTCAGAAAAGTTTGCCATCACTGATCTGTAATATGCACAAATACATAAGCATATATATATATATGTCTTTTCAATTAATAGTTTGAGCATGCCACTCCAGGAAGCTAGTTAAAATAGTTTGGAGAGTCAAAAAAAAAACACACACACACAAAATTGAAAAAACAGAAAAAAATAGATTCCATGAACAAAGTAAATGCTCTTCCCATTACTGTTATCATCCTGTTTGGTATTATATTTTCATCATTTTTATAGAAAAAAGTACTATTAGTGCTTAAAACTAAATCACTTGTTCCTTTAATATAAAATGTCAAAACAATTAAAATTTTGATCTAAAATTAAAATCATATTTTTCAATCAGTTGGAAATTAAAATTCTATGTCACTAACATAAGATGAAACATTGCACATTAAAAATATCTTATACAATAACCATAATGGCATACCTACAATGTATACTGTTTAATCAGTTGTACTGTACTTACACAAGAAAGAGAAAATACATTCACTATGGATTTATTGTGACAAAATATGCAAAATTTTATATCACTATATTTCAAACTGGACAAACCATTCCTACAATAAAAATATTATTATTTATCATATTGTCTTAAGAACCAGACATGGACAACAATTTATTAATTAAATAGACCTTTTCTAAATTAAGTTAAAACGACCAAGAAAATAAAAAAATCAATGTACTAAATACGTGAGTAACTTTCAAAAGATATAACAGTACCATTTTACTTAATTAATAAAAATTTTTACTACATTAACTACTTGATATTAAACAGGAATAGCAAATACTATCAAAGAGTAATTACAAGATATAATGACTGATCTTAATCTTTATTAATTTGTATAAGTTTAGTATCCCACAATTATATTATTTTCAAGTTATTTAAATGGTATCTCATATTTTTTACCAAATTTTTTTATGTAGAGAGATAATTACATTTATCACTATCATATTAAAGTAAACTTTTAAACGAAAAGGCAAACTACCCTGAAATAATTTTCATTCAAATACTTAAAAGCAGCGCTTTGTTTTCATTAACATTATAAATACATACAGAATCAAATTTGGCAACTTAGGAATTTCAAAGATGACTCAAACAGTTAAAAATGGGATATTATGACCCAAATTTATTTATCTCATAAAATCTTATACCGTTTTTTTCAATAGAATACTCAAAAAATATACATAAGAAATTAAATAGTTATTAAATATTTAATAATTATATTCATACTTTATCATAAGAAATCATTAAGTGTCAGACTAAAAAATAATAATAATTACATTGGTTTATTCTCTTGCAACACCATTATATCATAAATAATGATTCATAATAAAGATATTATTCAACAAGCTACACCTTTACCAATTGAAATGGAGAAGAGAAACATTTCAACTTTAATTCTGTTCAATTTATTTATATCTGATTATCCACTTATATATATAATTGTGTCGATAGAAACCTTGTGAATGAGTCTGGTTACTCATTTATAATTTATTTTTACAAATACTTGGAAGAAATAAATGGAATCTGTGTTATTCTGACTTACCTTGATCTCGTTATAAGATTTGAATGGTAATACAGCTGGTATATCTAACTCGCTATCTTCGAACGATCTTTCATCCATAATCACCCTGTAAAACAGTAGGGCGTAGAAGGGTAAGCAAGAATTGTAATACGAACACTTAAGTATCAGATCATGAATATCCTTTTCGCTCAAACGATCTAAAGTGAGATGATGTTAAGCCTATCAGCAACACTTTAGGCCTAACTGCCGAAAGATAATTCAATCCACTATCGAATTAAATAAATATTGATTGACTCAGACGTCCATTGATTTCCCGTAGATATATCTATTCATTCCATCTCGTACCCTTTGCATTTAAAACTATCGAATTAATCTTTATTGTGGAGTCGTTCTCGCACGTAAACCGCCGGTCCTTTAGGTTTAATACCGACAAACATCAACAGATGGCGCAACGGATTATCACCGCGTGAGGGCGCGATTTAACGAGGAAGAAAGTTTCGTGCGTGATTGGTTATTTTTTGAATATAATAATTACATGAAATGGATGATTTTGCATCACGTGATTTGTATTCGCCAATGATAAGCGTCCGGAATTCCATATGTTTTATTCCGTGACGGAAGTTAGAGTCATTCTTCCGTTCTGTAGAAATTGAAATGTGGCCATCGTCGGTCTTTCTTTTAACTTTTATTTTTAATATTTTAAAGTGGTCTTATGAATATGGTAGGTATAACTGAATTAATTACGTTGTACAGTACCTAAGATTAACAAATATTCGATATAGAATCAAAATATTTCTAATTGTTCAATATAATAAGTTTTAAAATGTACTTTAAAAATGATTTCATACAATTTTATTAAAATTAATAACAATTTACATTGACGATTCCTGAAGTCTGAATTATTTAGTAGCAACTCAATATTTAATATGAATTCTCATGTTTGTTAAAATGAATGAACGAAATGTAAACATTAATATTTACAAAATAACCTAAATGAAGAGTGCCAGATCTGTCTACAATAGTTTTTGCATAAATTTAATATAGGAAACAGTAAACCAGTTTCATTTCTGTTATTTCATAAATTCATTTGCTATATTTGGGTTGATTTAAAATCATAAGTCTAATTTATGTATATTTCTACCTTAATATTTTATTGATTGTGTGTTTAATTCTCATGATTTATATTTTATGATAATATTTATGTCTTTCATGTAAAAGTCTTTGCTTTTAGTCTGCAATAATTCTGATGGAAGCCCAAATTTGGCTAATATTGAAGACTTATTGTGCCTTGTAGGATGGTTGTGACTATCCTATGGGTGTAATAAGTCTGTGAAATTAGTCAAATTTGGGCTTCTGTCATAACTTGTGTCTTTATCAATGTCAGTTTCCTCTAAAGCAGTGTTTCTCAAACCTCTAACGAATCGTCACCCCCTTCAACAAAACCATTATGTAGTATTGCCCCCCTTCACTTCAAATTCCTATGCCATGGGCCAGGGCTAACGCTAAATTTGTACTGCATTGAATAGACTAGTGACTAGTATAATGCTACTTGTTTAATTATTGTACGATATAACGAATAAAATATTTAATTAATCTTAATATAATGTTTTACTATATCGCCCAGAAAATTGTTTTTCTCCCCCAAAATATAAATTGTTACAAATCGCCCCCCTCAACACGGAAAAACGCCCACATGGGGGTGATATCGCTCCCGTTGAGAAACACTGCTCTAAAGGATGCTTGCATCTTTGGAGTTCATATTGTTTTGAAAATATTACTATAACATTTGTGTTTTCTGTTTGCCGGAAAATAAATTGCTCCTTTTATGTAATAAATCTCAGATAATTGAACATTAATAATATACAGTGGGTGATCGGTTAACGAACAGATCGGACAACGAACAAATCGGATAACGAACACTTTCGTGAAAGATTTTTATGATCAGACAACGAACGTATGTTCGGATAACGAACACTTCACTGAACAAACACAAGAAGCGACGTAAAATAACGAATACCGATTGGTCTTCCTTNACAAAATAAGATTATATTAACCTACTATAAATATTTTCATTTCAATAGTTGTTACAATAATATAAAATATTGAAAAAAATGATTAATAAATTAATTAAACAAGCAGCAGTAAATTATTTAGTGCAAATGTTTTTGATTTTGTTAAATGATCATCAAGCTATACTTAGCAAGACTACTATACTCAATAGAATATAAATGGGAGAATATCTTTTTACAAATTCAAAAAAATAGAACACTATGAATTTTAAACAAATAGAACAAAAGCTATCAAACATTTTTAGAATACAGTATATGTAAATATAAATAAAAAATGTTTACAATAAATTACAAAGTAAAGACAAAACTAAAATGCACAACCCATCATAAAAACTTCCTGTTCTTTCAAGTCAAAGGAATTTGTAGAAGAATTTTCATAGCCTTAGAAATACTTTCTGCATCTCTTGTATTGATAAATTTTGTTTTCCTGGCAGATTTATATCTAATATTTCTAGTACTTTTAATTTTGAAAGATTACAGACAAAAAGAATTAATCCCTCTTTGCGAGTCAACATAAACCTCAGGTACAGAGGTATAAGCAGCTAATCTAGTGGTGGGAAAGAAATTTTTCTAACAGCCTAATCATGTTCATTAATCTTATATATCATTTAATCTTTAAACTAAATACATCAATGCAAGAGAATTTCTAAGCCATTAAAATCTTTCTATGAATTACAAAGTAAAAACAAAACTAAACTTCAAAACCCATCATATAGAACCTTCCTACTTTTTCAAGTTAAGGAAATCCTATACAATGCATTGTGCAGTTGTTTTGTTTTTACATTGTAATTTGTTGTAAAATTTTACTTATTTATATTTAAACAATAATACATTCTAAAAATGTTGTTTCACATTTTTTTTCTAATATTTGTTTATAATTTGTAATGTTCTGTTTTTCAAATTTGTAAAAAGTTGTTCAACCATTTATATTCTACTGATGGTCATAGTACTGTATTCACATTACATACAAAAGACATCTAAAAGTTTTTAGACAAACAAAAATAATAATGCAAAAATATTTATTCCATTTTTTTCAAAATTTACACTCTATACAACATTTTATTTGTCTAAACCACTTATCAAAACACTCAAACCAACATTACTTATATATAGTCACCAAAGAGTCTAAGCACATACTCATAGCCTGTTCTGAATTCTCAACTTCTGTTCCATGGATTTGATTTTAACTTCTGGAAATAAAAAGAAATCATAAGGTGCTAATCAGGTAAACGGGACAATAAGTTTATGTTCTTGCTACCCAAAAAAATCAATTATTCAAGCAGCTCTGTATGCTGGCACATTGTCATGTTGACACAAAATACATTGCTTTCATGATTTTGGATGTTTTTTCTCCAGTTTTCTAACAGCTTTGGAACACATTCTTCTGTATACTACTTAGCAGTTACAGTTCTTCTAGTTTAATTGTCATTTCTTTCATTGTTGCCAAGTTCAGTTTTACAGAAAAATGTGGCCATTGTTTTTTATTAGCATTTCTTGTTTAGCTTGCTTAATCTTGTTGATGGCTGTTCTTCTTTGAAGCACCAAACCTTGAACTGACTCTTGGTTTCCAGATCATAGCAATATATCTAAGTTTCATAGCTTGCCATTGATAGATTTTGAGATCCCATCTGAGAATTTTTGAAATATGAAGTGGCACCAATCACCCCTTGCCTTCATTTTCTCAAAAGTCAACAAATAAGGAACCCATCTGGCACATCTTTTGCTAAACTTCAGATGATCTTTTAAAATGGAATTATCTCTAGATTAACTAATCCCAAGCTTTGTAATAATTTCTAGATGTTTGATATATATAGTATATCTTCTCTAGCCAGTTCTTCCATCTGCTGAACAGTTTCTTAATTGATTGTAGTTAACAGGTAGCCAGAACTATGTTAATCTTTTATGCTTAATTATTCCACATTTAAATATAAGACATAATGGACATAACATCATTGATCATATTTTCTATATCTCGATTTTAGACATATACATTTTCCATAAAATTAGGACAATCTTTATTATTATTATGTTGGGTTTAGTGGGTAATACTCGGTTTAAACCGATGGCTGTGTACTATGCCGGACCAGAGTCAAGGCATAGCAACCAAAACTAATTAAATAAGTATGTTAGTGTCAGTGTCTGTATTAAGGAATTTCCTAACGATATGACATGTATTCAATATAGCGGCCTTCTGTAGTGTGATGTATGTATTTCTTTTCAATTGTAATGTTCCCAGGCTTTTGTGTAGTGTGTGTGGTATCACACCTGTACAGGAGAGAACAACAGGTACAATAAGCACCCTATCCATCCTCCACAGATGCCT